TTCGATCCTGTATCTTATGAATGGACTGATGGTGTTTTGGCAATTAGTTATCGTGCTTTCGCAACATCGACCACTCCAAATCGCAAATGGTTGATATTTGATGGTCCAATAGACGCGGTGTGGATAGAAAGTATGAATACCGTATTGGATGACAACAAAAAGCTTTGTCTAATGAGCGGAGAAATTATCCAATTAGCACCATATACCAATCTAGTGTTCGAGACGATGGATTTGGAACATGCTTCACCGGCAACAGTTTCTCGCTGCGGTGTGTTTTTCGTTGTTATTATTATTACTATCTCTGTTATTTTCTATTCCAATGAATATTATAAGGATATTCGTTTTGATAAAATTTTTGTTTGAATTTAGGCATGATCTATATGGAACCGAGTGATCTTGGCTGGGATCCTTTGCTTAAATCTTGGATAAATACTCTTCCTAATGTCATAAGTGCGTGGTTAAGAAACTTTATATACGAGTCACTATTTCGAAGATTTTGCGATCCCATACTTTATTGGTTACATCAGGACATCGCTGAGGTTCGTATTTTTAAAGCTTTCCATTTTTTCAGTTTATTTATTCCACGTGTGAATACTCATAAAATTAATCAAGTTTAATTTTTCAATTTTATAGATAATATGTCCCATGCAGGATACAAATCTTGTACGTTCACTGACCTATCTGATGGATTGTTTTATCGATGAATATCACGATGAAAAAATTGCCAAGAATATCGATGAACTGGATCTTCGAGCGCAAATCGAGGTTAGATTGTTATACGTATACGTATATTTTAACCTTCAAATAAGAATATAATAATAAATATAAAGGTTATAATAAGAAATATAAAATATAATTCTCTTATTTATTCTAATGTAAATAAAATTCAAATTTATTAACATTTTTCAGGGTTCATTTTTCTTTTCATGTATATGGGGTCTGGGAGGTAACATACACACAAAATCAAGAGAAAGCTTTAGCGATCTTTTCCATGGTTTTCTCGAAAAAACCTTTCCTCCTGATTTGATAGAAAGCTACAAGTTGAAAGCTCCGATAGAACCACCTTTAAAGCCATATATATTTCTTATGCCACGACATGGTCTGATCTTTGATTATAGATTCATCAAAGAGGTAAGTTATGTTTAATCGATATATACGATATCGAATTAATTAAAATAATTTTTTTTATCATCACGTAACGATACATAACGATAGGGTAAAGGAAAATGGAAACTGTGGTCCGATGATTTGATCGACATTCCACCAATCCCTCGAGACATACCTGTGAATCAAATAATAGTGCCTACTGTCGAGACGATACGATACATAGCTTTGTTTCGTTTATTAGTAGGGAATAAAAAACCTGTGTTGCTCGTGGGTCCGACCGGAACAGGAAAATCAGTTTACGTAATCGATTTTCTATTGAAGAAAAATAATCCTCAGGACAATAAACCGTTGATCATAAATTTTTCCGCGCAAACTACGGCGAATCAAACTCAGGACACAATTATGGGAAAGTTAGATAGACGACGGAAAGGTGTTTACGGAGCGCCGATAGGGAAAAAATGGATCGTTTTTGTTGATGATCTTTCGATGCCATTGAGAGAAATTTACGGGGCACAACCTCCAATCGAGTTGTTACGACAATGGCTAGATCACGGAGAATGGTAGTGAAAAAATTTCTTTGGATCATGTTTGTTAATTAATATATACACATAGTATAATGTAATACAGTTTGGAATTTGTCGCAGGTTCGATAGAAAAGAAAGGACTATGATAAAATTGATCGATGTACAGCTAATGTGTGCCATGGATCGACCGTATCGTGGTGGAAAAGATGTTACACCTCGATTTAAAAGGCATATGGTCGTTTTAGCGATATCGGAGTTTGAAGACGAAGTAATGTTTACGATATTTAGTAAAATCTTTCTTTGGCATCTTGACACCAGGTAAGATATAAATTTTCTTCTTTTTCTCTATTATTATATAATCTTTGTTTCTTTTCTTTCGTAAACAAAATTAA